ATACAAACACTTGATTGATTGATTGATTGATGGTCTGTTAATAATGTGCTGTCGGAAAAGTCAGTAATTAGATGACCACAGGCCAAAGGTTGCAATATGAAGTTTTTTAGTCATACAATGTAAGTGAAATTATAGTGTTTCAGTTTTAAAACCAATGTCTCATCAATTACAATTCTGTTATTATCAAAAGCTCATTCAATTCACTAATATCATATTTCACACTCAGCTACTACTGTACAAAATGATACAATTATCTCAGCTTTAGGATACATTTACTATGCCGGTTTATTCAATTGTTCACATTCTTCAAAAAGAAGGATGGAATAATCGAAGATTTAAAGCGATGGATAAGTTCCACAAACTAAAGACCAAAAGCTAACAGAGTGTCTAAGAAAACAACTATTCGACCAGTGTATTATCCCGATGTTTACATATGGCTGTGATACACATGGTTTCTTTCTGAGAAAGTTCAAAATATGTTGTGCATCACAATAAGACCATTAAAAAATGGTATGAGTCACATGCGAAGGTAAGTTATCCAACAAGGAATTAAGAAAACGAACAGGTATAAAGTGTGTGATCAAAGAAATAAGAAAACTAAAATTGAAATGGGCAGGCTATATCATGCGAGGACACGGCAGCAGGTGAGGAAAACTGTCAGGACACCACACAATTTCCAAAGACCAAGTGGCAGACCTTGTAATAGATGGAGAGACGATCTACACAATAATGGTGGGATCAGTTGAATGTAGAATGCACACCAGAGACAAATGTTGCTTGTTGACTATAATATGTCATTACAGCATGACAAGTTGTAAAGTCCTGTTTTATTGAAAGGAGACAATATTCGTTAAATAAAAAAACATTAATGTCAATTAGAGAATTACAGACCCCAGCCTAAAGGTTGCTCCTTTGCAAAGTATTGGAAAGCATAGTCTATGATAACTTTTGAGCAACTTGAATGAGCTTCAGCTCAACGCACAGCATATACTTGCTCTCTGTGAAGGCGAGGCCGTAGCACCTTGGACAACCTCCCCAGATAAAGGCGTATTCTGCTTGGGTCGTTGACTTTGTTCACATTATCTCGCACTCCATAATAATTTAATAAACTTTAAACCGAATTTGATCTCATTGCCCACCCTTTAAATTGAATTGAGTATTTTCTAACAGGAAGTAAGCAACATTGTCTGATCAGGTATGTGAATTGTCAAGGGCTCTTTCAGGTGCAAAACAATACTCGCAGATGAAACCTTCATAACTAATATGTATAAGAACTAAAGATACTGGTGGTACCTTGTATGATTATAAGGGTCCTTATAACAACATTAAGCTTAAGTTTTTTCAAGTATTTTACAAGAATTTAAGTCGATAAGATTGCAACAAAAAATGAATTAAAACTGAGTCAGCAAAAGTGCTAAAAAAGGGCTCCTTTACCTAAAACATCACCCATGTAATTTCAATCTACAATTTGGTATTCCAGAATTGACTAATATATTTAAAATGATGACCTGAAAGTGGATGACAGATTGAAAACGCTCATACTACGAGTAAAACGAGATAAAGAACTGAAGCGCATCATTTTAAAATTTCTTTGCCGGCGATAAAGACAATCAGTTTTGATAGCAAAATACTGAATAAAAAATGTAACAATTGTATAACAGTTATATATTTACTAACGGCGAATCTCAGAATTTAAAAAAAAAAAAAAACCAGTAATGAAGCAACTTTTTACGCACGTTTAGACTTGGATCTAAGTCAGATTGTCGAAATCCAATTTGCCGAATGCCAGATTGCTGATACTGAATACCAGTTTTCCGACGCAAAAATAATGAATTACAATTTGCTGAAACCCAATTTGCCGAAAGCCAATTAAAAACAGTGAAAAATTAACAGTGACGCATCCCTTACCCGCGCTCCTGCAATCGATGCGTATGGGCTTTATCCTTTAATATTAATAAAAGGTTTAATAAGTCTGTACAGTATTTAATGTATGCGCTTAAATGTTATTATATTTATTGATTTATACGTTGCTAGTAATAGCTCTATGCTTAACTATCTTTTCAAATACAAAATGTCCTGGGTTTAGTAGTTTTATCAATAATCGTACTACAATCGTATCACCACCAGAGCTAGGCTTAGCTACCCCCGTGCGCCTAAGCCTAGCGCACGCCTGCCCGTCTCTCAGGCAGGTTCGCTGCCTTCTTCCTGTCAAGCAAATCAGATCATGATACGGTTAGAGATCAATTGGTAAAAAAAGGTAAGTTTTATTTCTTGTTTATCTATGGATTGGGCTTATTCTAGTATTTTAGGCTAGGACAGAAAAACGATTATTATTATTTTTACATGTCAATCATGCTAGGCTAGGCCTAGTCCTATAGGATAGGGGCCTAGGCCCTAGTCCCTGCCTGTTCCTAGGCCTCCTTGACCCGGTGATAGAATGGTAGGCTCATAGTAGGCCACCACCATCATCAGACATGATCAATGAAATC